GTACTACGCCCAATGAGAGGGTTGACAATGGGACGACGACTGGCACCAAGCCTTACCATTGCGCTTATGTCTAAGGTGGAAGCACTTGTGACGGATCTCGGGTCGCTACTCTACTGTAGATATATAGATGACTGTTCTGCCCTTTGGTCAACATAAGAGAAAATGGACAAATGTTTCGAGTTGTTGAATGAACAGTCAGAGTATATCAAGTTCACCCGAGAGAAACCGAGAGAAAACTGGCTTCCATTCCTGAAAGTCAAAATTAACCTGTCAGAAAACGGCTACATTGTGAAGTGGTACCGAAAGCCAAGTAGTAAAATCATCTTAGTTCATTACCTCTCCTCTCACCCCTCTCACACGAAAAGGGTGCTTGTAAGAAACATGTTTCGAACAGCAACTAACGCGTGCACGGGAAGAGAGCAGAGAGAGGAGTTTCGGAACTTGGCGCGGCAAATAGCCATTTCTAATGGCTACGAAACTGTAGCTCAGGATAGGTGTAGAGAAAATCCTAGGTCCCCAAACGACAACTCTAGCGATAAAAAGATCTCGTTTATCCCACCCTTTATCTCAAATGATGTAAGTGCAGCTATAAAATGCTGCTTAAGAAGGGCAGGTTTAGAGAATTCTGTAAACGTAGTTGAAATGCTACCGGGTAATCTTTGGCGCCAGCTAGTTCGTAATCTCCAATGTAAGCGTCTATGTGCAACGAAAAATAGCATAAATTGCAGTAATGGTAGGGACTGTAGTTGCATGAGCTCGGGTACAGTTTATCTCATCTCCTGTAAGAAACATGTTTCGAACAGCAACTAACGCGTGCACAAGAAGAGAGTAGAGGGAAGAGACTCCGAACTTGGCACGCGAAATAGTCATTTTTACTGGTTGCAAAACTGCAGCTCGACATAGGCGCAGAGGAAAGCCCAATCTCCCCAAAAATAACTCCAACGACAATAAATTCCCGTTTATCCTGCCCCTCATTTCAAATGAACTAAATGCCGCTATTAAGCGCTGCTTAAGAAGGGCCAGTCTAGAGAATTCGGTAACCGTAATTGAAATTCCACCGAGTACTCTAAGACGCCAGCTGATTCGTAATCGCGTATATGACCGTCTATGTGCAATGCAAAAAACCATCTTAACTTTTCCAACCACTGAGGAAGGCGAAATCCGCAATGAGCCTTAGGGCATCTGGACAGCATGGTTCATGTGTGGTTCATAAAATTGGTGAGGGCGATCGTAGACACTGACAACTTCAAATATTTTTAGGTCCGCTGTAAATTTCGTTTACGTGAACGCTGGTTTTGCATAACTTGCCGAAAATTCCACCACTTCTAAAAATTAGAGGAGTTCGAAGTCTGAAAAACTTTGGAACAAAAGAAGATATTAATCTGTCTATTCTATTATTTATTTATTGTGATCTGTAATCTATTATTTACAAACTCATCGCACCTATGAAGTTGTTCGGAAATTAATGAAGGACTTCAATCTGCATTTTACAGTGACATATCTCAGCTCAAGATAAATTTCATTAATCGGAATAAAAAACATTAGAATCCACAGATTTTTGTCCGCAAAAGTACAAATTAATGTTGAGTAAAACTCTGAAGTCCTCGAAGCAATGCCACTGAAGGCAGTTTCAGGTTCGGCTTTCATATGATTTCTAGTGCATTTCTCGCATGAAAAGTTATCGGTTGAGGAAGCGGTAGTCCGTAGGCGAGATATGCCGCTTATATGCTGGCTGAGACATAGTTTGATAGCCCAGCTCGTTCAACTCTTCCAGTGCCAGTTTCGTGAAATGTGGTCGCTGATATCTTGTTCAACGACGGCATCCACTTATCGAGATGTCTCAGTGTTCAAATTTTCTGTAGATGCTCCGGAACAGTTAAGATGCTTACAATGACTTCTTGTACATGTTCTCAAACAGCGTTGTTTTTATTTGCTTCCATTTCAAAACTAAAGCTCCATAGTCCATTAGTTTCGGGCGAATTGCGTCGCGTTTGAATTCGTAAAGTTAGGTTTGTGGAAGATCTTGTCATGACGTCTCAATTTTTAACCTTCCTTTGGTGCTCGTCAGAAATGCAATTTATTTTTTAACACAATAATTCAAGCCACGAGATGACCTTTGCAGTAATATACAATAGTAACTCGTTCCAATTTTTTATGATAAAAGAGACACAAGGTAAAAATTTTAAAAACTCAATTTTCAGTATAAGGTTTAATTACCCAGGTTTTATAAACTAAGAGCTTCGATGACCATGCAGGAGATCACGGAGTATTCCACGGGTCCTATCGAGGACGATGACGAAAATCCGCAGGGTTCAAGTAGCACGGTGATTCTTCCGAAACTGGCTTTAAAGGTTGTGGCAGTGGTTTAGGTAGGCGTGACTTTTCATCAGTCAACTGAGAGAGCAAAAGGAAGTGATTGCGCTTGTGAATCTACGGCCGGGAGCGACAGTGGTTCCACATCAAATGGGCATGGTAGTCGAGGAAATTTCAGTCCTCGCACAGGTAAGTTGGAGTCCTCGTGAAGGTGTTGGCAAAACAAGAATTTCTGGGCTCTGGGTCATCTATAAAGACCAAGAAACAAAACATGGGATTTCACACCACAAATAGGCTTCGACTTGATAATGGAGATGAAGATAGCGCCCCTTAAGTGGGAAGACGACGAGAAATACGAAGACTACTGAGGCAGTTCATGACGAAGAAACGGTCGAAGAAGGCCACAGTCTAAACTACGATGATGGTGATGATGATGATGATGTAGAAAAGGACGATAACGACAAAGAAGCTATATCAGGAACCGACGACGCCAAGAACAGCAATTTCGAATCGTTTGATTTTGAAGATGACGACAAAGATTTCTATGAAAGTGAAGAGGACGATGATGATGATGACAGAGCTAAGGATGGAGAACAAGTCGATCCCTTATTGAAAATAACAGCCCTAAAGCAAAATGAGAAAGAAACAAAGGTGTGTTTAAGAGTGGCAAAGGAACAGATGTCAAGAAGTCCGTCAGTATCTCTGAAGCTGCAACATCAGCTATCTAAGGTAAAATAAAAAACTTAACTTCAGAGCAACCTGCTATCAGCAGACTACCAACACCAACGACTGCCAAGTTGTAGCTAGAAGCCTTTTGGAAGCTTGTTATTCACCTCAGAATGCCGTTGTACAAATTTTCCAGCATAACTTAAACACTATAAATCGGTAAGCAATAGATTCCACTTACTTCTAATGGACTTCTGCTTCTGTAATTATGGGCATTACATGGTTGTCAGAAGGATAAAGATAGTCCACTTTTCCGTCATTACTGTAAAACCACCACTTCATTCATATAAATTTCGATAAAGGAGTATAAATACTTCCACGAAACAGCGCCTATGTTGTCCCTATTTATAGAATAAAAATAAATAACAATGTGAACAAATTTTTTCACACACCGGTAAGACAACTTCTAAAGAAAGAAACGGCACCAAACAGAACGGCAAAATAAATTAGTAAATGTGAGCAAACTATATCCCAACAGTAAGTGAAGAACGAAAAGCTCGCTATTCCGACGGCACACATTTAATACTGAATTACACAGTAAGTGTTTACGGCTTTTTTCCCTGTCGTGTATAAAATTAGTAGTGCAACATAAAATATGTACTAGTTATCACACACCCAAGATTAATGGCATTACGGAAGAAAAAGGAATTCGTAATGAAGAGCTTAATGGTGTGACTCCAAATCGAATAGAAATTTCAGATCCGCCATTGTGAGATTCATGTTCCTTTTCGAGACTGCTCTGGAAAATATGACGACTAACAACCTGAGAAATTTTGCACAACGCATTAAAGATGAATCATTAAAAATGTTTCTGGGAACTAAACCAACCCTTTCAAGACGTTCTCAGCAAGCTCCATTTTTTTCATCTGCAAAGCCAACACACGTTCCTCGATCGACTGTTTCATGATCAATCTGGAAGGAACAGTGTGATAAAGAAGGCTGAAATCCCTTGTACCACAAACAGGTTATAAGGAATAGTAGAAAACTCTGCATATCCTGTGGTAACCAGGCAATTTATTCTGCTCCTAGTTATCTGCTTTAAATTGAAAGCCTTGTCCAGTGTTCTGGGACATTACCAAACAGAAGAAGGCTAAACAGTTCTTTGGAATTTTTTTTTTTGATTATTTTCACCCAATTGCCCCGAATGCTGCAGTGCAATTTTCCATTTCCCACAAAGTATGGAGTAAATGCAGGTGATACAGCAAACAGTTAATTTGGTGGCAGAACTGTCTCTCTTATGAACGAATTCAGAAGCAAGAAATGTTTACACTCCACAACCGAAAAAAAAGAATCGAAAGACGCAAAAATAATATGGTAACGAAGACATAATTCGGACATGAAATCCATGGTATTTTTCTTACTTGTGGATGTGAACTTCTCTTGTCTGACCCATTCTGTGAACTCTGTCACATGCCTGCAACTCAAGCGCAGGATTCCAGTGAAGATCCATAAGGATCAGATGGTTCCCTAAAATGATTATAATGCCTTCAAGAAAAGTCAACTTAGTGTACTTCTTCGTTATAAACAAGAAATGTAAAAATGTAATCATTCTTGTTTGCTCACCTCCAGTGAGGTTCAATCCCACTCCACCTGCTGAGATCGAAACCAACATAACATTTGTTCCTTTTTTATCTTCATTAAAACACTTTACACGATCTTGTCTGGAACAGATTGTTGCTGAAATTTATGATCGGTAACCAATAACGTCCCATTCCACACCTTTCTGATGGATGAACATCACCACTAATAGTTGAACACTGCGCATCTCGGAACCGTTTCACTATATGTTTTTCTAATATCTTCAGAAATGAAGTCCACTGCGATACCATGACACTGCAATGTGTACTTCAGATTTTGCGTCCTATACTGTTTCTTTTTAACAAAAACTATTTTTTAAACATAAGACTACCTGGCGTCAATTACGACGCCCTTTAAAATAAATTTAGCAAGTAAAAAACAAAGAAAAAGGAAATAAGTACCATTTTTCGTTATCTTTCAAAATACGTTCAAGCAAGTTCAAGGCGAAATGAATCTGAAACCACGAAGAAAATAGCTAAGACCGTTTAAAACATGAATATTTTACAAAGAGGTCGGTCATTTAAGAATGTGGCAATTGCAAACTTGTAGACAAAAACTACCTTAGCACTTGCATGTTTTCTTCTAAAAATGAGGCTTAGATCCTCGAAACTAGTCGAGTCGACGTAACTGTCAATGGTGATATTGGCCAACTGTTCCTGTTCTTCTGCTGTCAGTTGATATTCTGTCCCAATTGATTGAAATGCTTCTGTATTAACGGCCTAGTATGCAAATAGTTCCGCGCCGACGGAAAAATAACAGCAGGCTAGTCAAAAGTGTATCGATCAACTCACATTCTTCGTTAGATGAAAATGGATACAGGCTTGACGAAGACGCAATAACATGACCAACATACACCCCATCTTTCCAATCTTTGTACTTGGATTTGACACGCTGTTTGAACCTAGAAAAATCATAAAGTGGAAAACACCAATTCACATGAGCTACGAACTGAACTCACCTATAAACACATTCCTAGCAGGTAATAGCATAGCGGCCGTCTTTTTGTTCCCACCAATTTTCTGCTCTACCTCTTCTTCAGTTATCATCTCCCTCACCATTGTTCTATAAAATAGCCGAAATCAAATAAATTCAGTTGTCGAAACATGACATATAACCGAAGTTTCTATAAAAAAAAAAGCGGCGCAACTAAGACTATTACTGTAAACTTTTCCAGTAGCACTAGTTTGCCGTTGAGAACAAATGGTGCTCTGCAAAGCATCAAAAAAGGACCAAAGGTGGAATATAGAATCGTAGTATATCTACCTTGAGGCCTCATACATTAATTCGTATGCTCGTCTCTCTCCATCAGAAAAGTCAAGTATATGGTCATGGTTGTGTTTCACTGGTAGTTCTACCTGAAACATTATCAAACCGCAGATATATTCATTACTGGACCAATAGTGCAGTAGCTGTGGTGCTTGGTTAGAACGAACACGGCGCTGGTTAGACCTCTCACTAGGCTCATCAAGCCTGTTATCCTTCTGGAGTCGGGAAATTGATACCAGACTTCTTCGAGAGCAGGTCACACCTTGCAATCCAAGTGGAAACGCTCTAGCACTTATATCCCAAGGTTCCAAGGAAACCTTTCACCAGCTTACAGCGACATTCAAAAAGAACAGATCTTCAAACAACAGCCAAACATGTATAGAAGGTTCGAATATTCGAACACTTTCGTGCATCATGGAGAAGAAACGCATCGCATGCAAGTGCTCGGATCCGCTTAGTGGATATGAAGGCAAATCTTTTAAAATAGAAGGAAATATATGCATTGACATTCTTCCCATATTTCCTTCGGAATCGCAGCTAAGCGCAACGTTAGGGACGTTCTGACAGAATTTTCTTATGACCCCAACGTAAAAAATCTTGCCAGACAGAAGGCGTAAAAAACTGGATGAAAGATGATCCGGATCTCAAATTCTCGTGAAGATGAGCCATTTGAATAGCAAAAACAGACAAACAAAAACCGTCACTTGAAACGATGAAAACAATAAAAAAACAAAAGCAGCTCATCCAAACACGTACTAAGCGCGTCTCTGTGATAGGTGACACGGAGCTCTTTTCACGACGAAGCACATAGTTCTTCATTAACAAGTTTAGTCGTTCTGCTGACTTCTCTGGAAATTCTGACTTCTTAAACACACTAACTGACCACAAAAACTCCAATACAGTTAGCAATGTTGTTGTGAACCTCTCAGAAACACTGATAAATGACTAACTCGTAGATAACATCACGTATTCTTTCCAGAAACGTTCCTCACTAAAGTGGTCGACCTTCAAAAACCTTTAAAAAAAACTCTATAATGAAATTTAGAAAAAATATAGTAACAATAACGGCGAAAATAGTGGAAGTACAAACTTTATCAGCGAATACAGATCCCATAAATTGTTATGAACTGGTGTTCCTGTCACACACCAACGCGCATCGGAAGACAGACGACAAACTGCCTACAAATGGTAATAGCAGTAGCATGTGGAAGAATATCCTTAATCGACTGCGTAAGTCTTTACAACTGCGTATACTTTAAGACATCTATATAAAAGACAAAGAAAGCAGTATTTCGACCTTCTGAGATTTTCCGTTTCAACCATAATGGGGAAACAATCAAAATGCCTCCAATCTAGGAGAAATAAAGCCTCGTTTATATCATGGACCTAATGAAAATAATCGCTTCAATTATGAGCGCATCTTGTTGTTATTGCAAAACAAATAAATACGGTATAAGATGGCGAGCGAGTACCACCTATAACATGTCTTCCAAACGATCGTCGACTGGCTCACGCAGGTGCCATTGGAAAAAACTGAAATGCCCATTTGTTTCTAATGCGTGCGAAACTGGCACAATAGATTCAGCTCCAAGAACTTGTTCTACTTCATACTTCTTTTGAAGAATCTTCGCGAAGAACCATATAAACATAGTGTTGGTAGTTTTCTTCCTGTACACTTCGTGTCCAATAGTTCCGTTCACATGCATCATCTATCCGCCCCATCTAATCTTCAGCATATTGGCGTGCACAGCGGCAACTTTGATCTTTGATCGTCGACGTAAGCCAGACCTTTAGAATTGCTCCTTCGGTTGCGTGGTGCAGGATTTCACAAATCGCGCTCGGCTGTGCGTTCAACAGTGCTGCGTGACGTTCCATTCTTCTTGCGCAACGCCTGGGCTACGAACGCGTGCACTAACGCAAAAGAGTAGCGATAAAGATATTCATATAGGCATTTTAAGTTGTGAGCAATTCTAGTGCTTTCACAATCCACTACATCGCCGCTTTTCTTGGAAGCCCTCCAAGTCACCCGTTCCCTGCTCCTCAAACCTGAAGCCAAATCGTTTCTGTTGACTTCTCGTACCACAATTATCCAGCTATATAATTCGACAATATTCATTCTGTTGAGCGTTAATACGTACTTACTTGGATACTTGGATGGCCTCTCTTTACTAGTTGTGCGGGCCCCAGCATAATTTCCATTCGTCTTTCCTGCAATAATTCCGTCAACATGATGATGGCCTGCTTTTAGCATGGTGACGTCCGCGAGGCCTATTTCCTAATCCTGAAATTGTTGCCATCTTCGTGTGCAAATGGTTGTTGTTAGCCACGAACACGTCCGCCCATCCACTCGGTGATCTTCCAAGAGAACACATGTATTCTGTTGGAGTCCACTCCACTATTCTTTTCGTCCATCTAGCATCTTTTTTTTCTTATTATGTCACAGGCCCATCTGGACTTCGCTCTCAATATATATTCTCCTGGATCCTGAAGATGGGATGGGTTTCGAAGATCTGACCTACGCATTCCGGCTAGATATTCAGAGTGCAGGTTATATTTTAGAAGACATTGCTCAAGCGCTCTATGAGTAGTGAGAAGTATTCTTGACGTGGCTGAAGTATCAACCCACGTTTCTGACGGATTAGAGAGGGCTAGGAGGACTGTTGTGTTGAGTGTCAACAGAGCATGAAAAGCAAATCGGATTTTAATATCACTTTCATGAGATTCAAGTGAAGACTGAATTTCCCCAAATGAATTTTCGAAGTCTACAACCAATCTTTCTACCTTACCAGAGTTTAAGCTTGTAAGAACGATACCACCAGCAAACCGCAGATGGTGTTTTCCCAACATTCGATTTCCATTTTTCACTTTCCATTTCGATTTCCACTTCTGTTCTTGAAGGTAGCTTGAAACAGTTTTTCCCAGACAATAGCACCATGGACCAGAAAGGATTTTTATGTGCTGAGTAGCAACGCCCTGGTTGCCTAGTTTTAATGAGCGGCTTATGTCTTAAATGAGTCAAAGGCCTTCCGATCGGATCTCGGAAAAGATTTTGTGACAAACAGGTCGGTTATGCAAAATTGTGATCTAACTGAAAGGCAACACTCAAAGACCGATATATAAATAGTAGGGATGGATTAATAGGAAAAATAGGCAACCTGAGTTTAACTCGTATGAAATGCTGAGATATTCGCAAAACTCCGGACCACAGGTGTATGCAGTGGGGAACGAACACGCGCTGTTGTCCTTACCGGGGAGCAGCGCACTTCACCGCTACACCATCCTGGCAAAAAAAAACAACAGAACTAGCTGAGAGACATGCAAAGCGAAGGACCCGGATGGTGTAGTGGTGAAGTGCGCTGCTCCCCGGTAAGGACAACAGCGCGTGTTCGTTCCCCACTGCATACGCCTGTGGTCCGGAATTTTGCAAATATCTCAGCATTTCATACGATTTATATTTCGCAACATAACCTGCCATTAAGAAGAAAAGGCAGTAAATAAAAGAGTTAAGAACCTGAGTTTAATTTAGAAAAAAGTACCCGACACACTTACTTGAATACTTGCATGACCCGCCCTCACTGACTGTGCGGGCCCCAGCATAATCTCCAATTTTTCTGAGTTTTGCTGGTTTAGCCACTGTGATTTCACGGCTCCCGAGATCAACCTAGCCAATGTTTGCCCTAGGTCGTCACCACCACGTGAAGTCGGCGCCCTTATGGATCAGAGAGAAATTTGCCATCATGCGACTAGTTTGCTACCAAGACAATGGTGGGTCCCAATATTGGTTTACTCTTGGCTGGGCTTCCTGATGGAAACGCCGGACTCCTCAGCTTGGGAGACCCTGCCGGAGTGATGAATCCCCCGCTGCATATCGCAACCCGACAGCTAGGAAGAGCTTCCAGCCACGATGAGGCGGTATGGGAGGAAGACAAGAACAATATTAATGGAGAGCACAGTGAATCAGTAGCTTAAGCAGAATGAGGAAACTAGTTAAGGTATGTCACTCACCTTCGCTGCTTTCGTTTTCCTATTTTTAATACAGTGTGCTTCATCAAGAACAATCCGTGACCAATGAATTTTAGCAAGAGTGTTCCTTTTCTAAAGATCGTGTAATTATTGTGATATGAGCTCACATCATAGAAGACTAAGATTTACATGGTCATCATTTCTTAATTCATTCGCAACCAACGTGTAGCTGGTGATTACAATGTCATTCGTCGCCAACCTGCAATAAATTGATGAAAGAATATAAATTTAACTTTAATTTAACGAATTGGATAAGAAATAAGAAAGTCATACATTTCGTGGTTAACGTGCTTTCTATTAGTGTGGTAGACTGCAACCTTTAACAGTCCAACTTCACATCTCTGATTAACTTCGCTTTCCCAATGGTAAATCAGCGCAGCTGGTGCAATTATAAGAGTTGCATTCGAAGGCGTAAGACTGCAAGATTACTAAGTAGTGAGCTGTCCGTATCACTTAAAACAAAGTAGTCTAAAAAAAAGAAATTTGCCAGGTAAAAAGCGCCGAGATGATCCATTACCTTTGCTGAGGGGCAATCGAGCTTCGCTCTTTGTCTTCACTATCTTCTCCTTCAAGTCTCCGTTGCTCACGTCCAGACTTCCCAGTCGCTATTAATGCAATTACCAATAACGTCTTCCCCAATCCCATCTCATCAGCTGAAGCATAGATAGGATGTAGCGTATGCACGTGAAGATCAAAAGACAATTATAACACATCGCAATGAAATACTGAAAATTCGATCGCTCTTGCTTCAATGAGAAAATTCTATAGTAAACCATCGATGTAATTTGAATAGTAATAAATCATGCTGTCACCACAACTACTAGGAAAATAAATAGTGGAAATAAAAGGGTAATGGTATAATAGCTGATGCAGCACTCTACGTACCAAGAATACCACCCTTTGGGGAAAGTGACTCGCGCCATATCATCCACGTTAGTCCAGCCATCTGATGTTCCTTCAAAGGATACAAAAATCCAGCGGGAGTTTTTGTGAGCTCTTTGGCATCAGGTTGGGACATAAGTGCTCTTAATTTAAGAAGAATTTAAGAGGAAGAAAGCATAAAATACCCTAATATGTCAAAATCCTAGCGAGCTTACCAATATCCTAATAAGTTGTAAATGTATTTAATCACAGATCTTACTTGTGCAGTTCTGTTAATGCCTTCTCCTGTATACCACGATAGATCGGATGTTGTGCATCAATGAGAATATCGTTGATATCGGAAACAACTGATACTAGGTTCCATTTTATTTAAATCATGTGTTCAACTAAACGAACCTCGACGAGGTACTGAAACGAGAACAGAACCGTGTTTTCTGTTTTCCTTTTCCGAAACGTCTTCCTCTTTTCCAGCTGCTACAAAGCAATGACGTTCCTCAGCAGGTCCTTAAAATATCCATGTTCTCATAAATTTTGACACGAATGAGGACAGCTTTACTATTTCAAAAAACATATCTCCCTCCTTCTTTGCAATTCCTGCGTAATCGCTTCAATCTGTCGGTGTATGCGAGCACCACCATCTGGCAAAAATGGGGCATGTACGAGCAATTTCTACAAATGCTGGCATAAGTAGACAAAAAGGTGTACCGGTAATACATTTAAAAACAAAAGTTTACACGAGAACTTTCGAGTCGTAGCTCCAAACTTGCGGTAGTTTCTTTGGAATATTTGGGTATTGCCGAGCCTACCTACAACAATACCAATAATGCATGTAAGATATGTTCATCAGTTGAATAATACCGTACCTCAACGTCTTGCGGCAACGGCTTCGGCGGCTTCGGTGGAGAATGTGTAGAGATGTTATTATCATTCTCTGACACCTTGTCATCCTCCGAAGATGACTCAATTATTATAGTGTCAGGTTTGATGATTTCGTCACTTATTGCTTTCCTATCCCTATCAACATCACACATCTCAACGCTGTCATCTAATACAATTATATCATCGTCGTTTGAAGAAAGACGCTCGTGTATATCCGACTCTTCAACCACTTCATCTTCAGGAAGTTGAGTGCATAAGAAGCGTACATCAGCAGCTTCGCTTCTCAAATTTGAAAGAGGGCGCCGGAAGCGGATTTCCTACAATCAATGTTTTTAAGGAAAACGAGCAAACAAGCCATTCATGAATAGTACTGGTTAGAAGATGGAACACCCTATGAGGTTCACAGTACTATGAGAAAAATATGCAGTGAAAGTTCCGAAAAGGTTCGTACGAGACAGCGTAAATCTTCATTCAGTGTCATCTATGACCTAAAAGCACCAAGGATCTTAATAAAATAAACACTAACAAATTCACTGAGATTTCTAAATAAAAAGGATAGGCGTTCCGTAGAGAGGCCCAATAAAAGCAACCAAAGTTCAAACTAAATATAAGAAGTTCATTTAGTTCCTTCAAAAACACATTGGGGAAAAGCTGTACCTCAATTCCACTGAAAATATGAGAGGTCTCAAAAACAAATGAACAGTATTTCTATGGCAAAGTGATAAAAAAGAAAGTTGTCGGCATCGATCAATCCCTGAAGGATACGCCATGCATTCGACTTCATTATTCATCGTTTGGAGATGACTCAACGCATATCTGGCCTTTACAATGATTTGCAGTAGCCAACCGATGTATCGAGACAGTGCTGCTATCTTTGCAGATTAGTTTGGCAACAATTAGCCGGTCCCAAATAAATGAAAGTCTTGGTGGGCCAAGGACGCGGGAGTCGATTCCATATGTATTGCAGAGCTCCTCTGACTCTGCGCCACGCACGACCATACATTTTTACGTTAGCGAAGCTTACTATTGTATACGATATTGATGGCTTACTGAGTCTTTTCCATTCCTAATTAGCGTGTTGCGTAGCAAACGATCACGCAGTTTCCCCGCTGACGATGGGTCCTTGAGCAATCTCATAGAGTATGGTGACAGAGGAGCTGGAAGAAAAAGAATAGACTAAATTCTGCATAATAAGAGTAATATCTAAGATGATTCTGAGATATCTGCGAAACATCGGATCACAGGTGTGTGCCGTGGGGAACGAACGCGCTATTGTCCTTTCCCGGGGAGTGATGCGTTCACCACCATACCATGCGGGTCCTTCTTTTCGACTGTCTCTCAGCTAGTTCTAATCGATTACTTGCGATCAGCAATCACCCGTCAACGGGATTGATCCAGGGAGCCCAAATCGACATTGGACCCAGTTAAGCTGAGGTCGAAGCCGAAATCACAATCTTAACCTTTTTACTTGTTACCTACTTTGATTTTTAACGGCAGGGTATGTTGCGAAATATAACTTTTATAGTGCTGAGATATTTGCAAAACTCCGGACCGTAGGTGTCTGCGGTGGCGAACGAACGCGCTATTGTCCTTTCCGGGGAGTAGCGTACTTCACCACCACACCATGTGGATCCTTCGTATCGCCTGCTTCTCAGTCCTGATCGATAGAACTAGCTGAGAGACAGGCGAAACGAAGGACCCGCATAGTGTAGTGGTGAATGCGTTACTCCCCGGAAAGGACAATAGCGCGTTCGTTCGCCACCGCAGACACCTACGGTCCGGAGTTTTGCAAATATCTCAGCACTATAAAAGTTATATTTCGCAACATACCCTGCCGTTAAAAATCAAAGTAGGCAGCAAGTAAAAAGGTTAAGATTGTGATTATAACTATAGCCTCAGCTCAACTGGGTTCAATGCCGATTTGGGCTCCCCAGATCAATCCCGTTGATGGGTGATTGCTGATGACAAAAGATCCATAGAACTAGCTGAGAGACGGGCGAAACGAAGGACCCGCATGCTGTGGTGCTGAACGCATTACTCCCCGGAAAGGTCAATAGCGCGCTTGTTCCACACCGCAGACACTTGCGGTCCTGAGTTTTGCAAATATCTCAGCATCATCTTAGTTGTATTTCACATGATATCCTGTCGTTAAAAATTAAAGTAGGCAGCAAATAGAAAGGCTAAGAGTAACAACGTTCATTCCATAAACTCCGATTTATAAACACGATAAAAGTCAATAACCAAGCCTTTAAGATGGATAGTAAAGACGTCATAACTGCCCTGTGGACTTTAAAACAAATTGTACGTAATACCAATAGATGTAATGTAAAAGGTAGAAAAGAGATTCTAGCTCTCCTTTGAACCAGAAACATAAACAATTCATAAAACTGTTACCTATTGATAGGCGAGTGTAACGCAGTGGTCGGAGGCGCCCTGCAACACACACGTTGGATCGATCCCCGCACCCGTGATTCACACCAAGCCTTCCATTCCTCTGAGGTCAGCAAATTGGTACCAGACTTGTCTGGGAGGATAGCAGCATTGGCTCGATATATCGGTAGGCCGCCGGGAGTTATTGTAAAGACCAGATATGGATTCGATTACCTCCAACGATTCGTAGTGCAGTCGAACGCTTGGTACAAGGATAGATCAACGCCGAAAGCCTTATCTTTTATCTTTATTACCTATTTACCACCTACAGAATTGTAAACAATGTGCTTTTAATTCGTTATTGGAAAACGACGGAAGAGTTCAAATTGCGGCCTTCTTAAAGAATTTCTTCATGAGCACTGAGTAAAACTGCCAATTTAATAAAAAGAATAATTAAAGCTATAAAACAAAAGGACTTCGGCTTTAACCATTCTCTCAAGGATTTATCAATTAAGAGCGATTTGTATCGTAGGGATGCACCATATATGCTGAAGGCATATTTGACCGTATTAGACAATTACTTGTGGTGGATGCACAAAGTTAATGGCTTTACATTCCAGACACGAGTGGCACTCATCGCGACCCCTGAGGGATAGGAGGTTCCGTTTACACGGGCCGTGAGATCGGACCAACTATGACGTGTGTGCTGCAGTGGTACCTCTAATCAGTGCCCCCCCCCCCCCCCCCCCCCCTGCGATTTAAAAAAAAAACACAAGAAACCAACCGGGAGATCGTATCCTTCCAATGAAAGACCGACTTCTATCTCCATCACGTTCTGCAGCATAGAATCCAGTTCAGTGAAATGAATTAAAGTGTAACAAGAAGGAATACCATGAAAAGAATCCTTGACGTTTTCTTCACAAAGAGACAGCGATGCTATTGATTCCGATAATGACGGCATCTAACAGATCATCGTTGTAAAATACGTTACGAAGAACATAAAATCTGATGGAATTAGCTCACCGGAATAGAATCGGCAGATTTTGGAGTGGACGAGAAAGGGAACGAAGTTGTACCACAAGCATGAAAGAAACAGAAGTTTTCATAAACAAAAAAGATGAGGACACTGCCCAACCTCACTCCATTAACTCCTATTAACTTCGCAATGAATGGTAGGAAATAATCGTATAGACCTTCTCTACCATATGGACTGTATCATTAAAATAGCACAATCCGCATATTTGAGATGCGAAGGTGAAGAAATCTCCACGCTTCCATACCATATATTTACTTGGACTCGCTTTCATTGTTTATGCAGGCCCCAGCACAATTTCCACTTTCGGCGATTTGTTGGTTAAACTTTCTTTTGTGATTCTCCGGAGTCCCAAGATCAGCATAGCCAGTCTGCCCCAGGTCCTCACCACCACAGGTAGTCGCCGCCCTTTTAGATCAGAAGGAGATTTGCAGTCAATTTGACACCAGGACGATGGTGGATCCTGGTACTCGTTTACTCTTAGCTGGGCTTCCCGATGGAAATGCCGTACACCTTCTCAGCTTGGAAGACCCTGCTGAGGGGATGAATCTCCCCGTTTCACATCGTGGTCCGACACCCAGGAACACCTTCCAGCCACGATGAGGTGATAAACCATCACCGCCAGTTTCCACACCATGCAGGCAAAACAAAACGATTTAATGGAAAACGAACGAGGTTTTTTAAAGAACGAACGATTGCATACGCGACAATTGCATTGTAATACATACCTTTACGGGAGTAGACTCCCTAGGAACTCGAGCGTCTTCGCTTTCACCATCGGAGATCTGCAAAGGAAAGAAAACTAAACAGCGACCTAACGGTAAAAAATGACTAGCGTAATAGGTAGTGGAAATGCTTAGAAACAAAAAACTCCGGGTCGACACTCACCCACTCACAATCACGAGCTTCTCGAAATTTCAAGAACGATTCTGAGCTTGTCATCGAGCTGCTGGATTTGAAATCTGTAAGCGCTATTTAAGCAGCAAACAACCATTTCCCATCAATATTGATCAAATTGACGTAAGCCTAACACACTCAAGCCTCGTCCCTCATATCAGTTAACACCGACAAACATACAAATTACACAAAACGGTTTTGAAAGTGATTTGCTCGGTACGTGTTCGAAACAGAGTGGGAAACAAAGACGAAAAGTAAAACAACTGATCCGTAAAGACCAAGAGGATTTGAATTTATTTTTTTCGCGCTCTAGACTTCGACAAATTCGAGACGACGCCTAAATTGTGTACTGCCGCATCGGACGACGCCGAGGATTAATCTCTTTTGGACCGAAAACGACGGTGATTTTTCGAAAAACTTAGTGCTTAGGGTTTGGGAACCTCATAGATTTATAGAGCTGGTTTTGCTGAGTTGCTCTATAGGTGTTAATAGTTTGTAGGATACTGTTTGCTCTTGTTACTGTCCTCCTAACGGTTTATTGCCTCATCGTGGCTGGGTGTTCCTGGGTGTCGGGCTGCAATATATAGCGGGAGGATTAGTCCTCCCAGCAGGGCCTCTCAGGCTGAGAAGGAGTCCGGCGTTTGCATCAGGAAACCCAGCTAAGAGTAAACCAATACCAGGATCCACCACCGTCTGTGGTGACGACATGGGGCAGACTTTGGCTAAGCTGACCTCGGGATTCCAGGGAACCACAATGGCTAAACCAGCAAAACTCCGAAAAAATGGAAGGTATGCTAGGACCTGCAAAACTAGTGAGGACGGGCCACCCAAACAAACAATCATCGTTGTAAG